GCATATCCCAAACCCTGGATACCCGCCCTCTTCGTCTTCGATCGCACCCCCTTTGGGGGGTATATTCGCTCCCTGCCACGCGCGGTCGGCGAAGCCCTTGAAAACGAAGGGCAACAGATAATGGGGGAGAACGAGGACGAAGGGATCGGAAGAAGGGAGGGTACGGGGCAATAAGGAGGGAGGACGATGATTTGCGCTGCGAGTGGCGGTTCAGCTTGCGCCATGGCTTGCGCCAGCCACTCCAACACAGGTGAACAATATAAGTTTCGCCATGGGTCGCGCCATAAACAGCGCCACGCACCACCCCCTTGGAAGAACATATCGTGGACACCCCCACGGGGGGGCGCACAGCTGCGAACTGGTGTCAGAAACAAATTTCGTGGAATCTTGAAAAGAAGCGGGATGTTGGGCGAGTGAGGCGGAAGGATAACGATAACTGCAACCGCGTCGAGAGGAGCGCGGGGATGTGGAGTGGATTGGGATGGAGTGGACAAGAGTAGGGTCTCAAGAAGAGGAACGGCAAAGAGTGGAGAAGAGGAACCGGGAGGAGTGCGGAGGAGCGCGGGGCGCACGGAGGAATCTGGAGGAGGGACTGGGAATAATTTGTGGGAAATGCGGAATGCGAGCGGGAAGGGGTGGAGATTGTATGCGTGGAATGGGGTGGCCTGGGGAGGGGTGGGCGGAATGCGAAGAACTGAAAAAACAGCACCATGGAGAACGAACGAAAAAAAATAAGATAAAGGGAAATAGTAAAGAAGACTGGGGAGGAACGCTGAAAATTGGGACCAGGTGGATACGAGCGGAGACTGGTGCGGAAACAAATCGCGGGGGGATTAGAAGGCACCCGGAAGTCTCCTATGACATCTGGGGGGCCTCGGAATGGCCCCGATGACCACCGAGCAGTTCCAGGGGCTCCGCGGGAACGCAGGCGGGAGCCGTTGTTTGCGCGGGCCACGACGGGCGCGAACGAGCGGGGGCCCCGAAGGGCATACGTATAGGGGGCCGCAGAGGGCAGCGACGTAGCCGCTGAGGGCAGAAACGGGGCCACGAAGGGCAGAGAGGGGGCTACGAAGAGCGACAGCGGGGCCACGAAGGGCATGCATATGGGGCCACGACGGGCGCGACCGAGCGTGGGCCACGAAGGGCATACATGTATGGGGCCAGAAAGGGCGACAGCGGGGCCACTGAGCGCAGAAAGTGGGCCACAAAGGGCAGCGAGGGGGCCACGAATGGCGACAACGGGGGGACGAAACGCATGCGTATGGGACCACGAAGGGCGCAACTAATCCGGGGCCGCAGGGGGCAGCGACGGGGCCGATGAGGGCAGAAACGGGGCCACGAAGGGCAGAGAGGGGGCCACGAAGGGCGACAGCGGGGCCACGAAGGGCATGCATATGGGGCCATGACGGGCGCGAACGAGCGGGGGCCACGAAGGGCATTCGTATATGGGGCCACAAAGGGCGACAGCGGGGCCACTGAGGGCAGCAAAGGGCCCCGGAGGTCCCAAGAGGCCCCCAAGAGGCTCCCAGGAGGCCTCCAATAGGTTCCCAAGGGACTCCCAATATGCCGCAGGATACTCCCTAGATGGGCCCAAGACGCACCAAGAGGCCCCCTGGGACTGCCAAGAGGCCCCAAGACACGCCAAGAAGACTCCAAGAAGCTCCCGTAAGAAATCCGAAGACGCCGAGAGACGCCGAGAGGTATCCGAAGAGACGCCGAGAGGCCCCCATGAGGCTCCCAGGAGACCTCCAAAGAGGCCCCCCCAGGGGCACCCAGGACGCCCCAAGAGGCCTCGGCGAGAAGGCCAGCATCACTGGTGTTCTATTGTTTTGGCTACAGTTTGGCGTCCTGGCAGGGTGGGCCCTCATCTGATCGATCTCGTCCAAAATGGCCCCAAGATGGCCCCCGAGGCTCCCAAGGGTGCCCCTAAGACGGCCCCAACAGGTGCCCAGAAGGTCCCAAGAGGCCCCCAAGAGGCCCCCAAGATGCCTCCAAGAGGCCCCCCAAAAAGCCCCAAGAAGCCACAAGAGGCCCCCCAGGGGCACCCACGACGCCCCAAGAGGCCCCCGAGACTGCCAAGAAACCTCCAAGACGCTCCAAAGGACTCCAAAAAGCTCAAGGAAGACATCCGAAGAGACTCCGAGATGCATAATGAGGTCTCTGGCCCGGCCGTTCTGCTCCTCCTCCTCCTCATGATCCTCTTCCTCATCCGCCTATTCCTCCTCCCTCCTCCTCCCTCCTCCCCCTCCTCCTTCCTCCCCCTCCCCCGATCTCCCTCCTCCTCCTGCTCTTCCGATTCCTCCTCCATCCTCCACCTCTAATGGTAAGACGTCTTATCCAGCCTTTGATTGTACTGCATGCTCCTCCACATCCCTAATCAGGACAACTCGTCTGGGTATCGTATCTAGATTGGCTAGAGGGGTTACGCGAAGTGTCAATGATTGAAAGATCAGGGTGACTTCACCAGTTTGAACTTCCTTCAGCTCCAGACGGCCCCAGAGGTCTCCAAGACAGCCCCAAAACGACCCACGAGCCCCACATTGCCAACAATCATCTAAGACGGTCTCAAGACAGCCAAAGAGGGCCCCTAGACGGCCCAAGATGCCCCAAGATACCAAGAGGGCCTCCAGTTGGGCACGAGGCTGCATTAGAGAGCCCTTCGACGGCCCAAGACGGCCCAAAGAAGGACGGCCAAAGAAAGACCGCCCCAAGACTGCCGCACAGGATCCCAGGTAAGAAAGGATGGAAGAAGAGTAGAAAAACCAACGAAAACGAAAAGAGAAACCCTGACACGACGCAGAAGAGCGCGTCACATGCCACGGCTGCCCCCGGCCACGGGGCACGAGGGGCGTCACACGTCGTGGCCTCCCGTGCCCCCCCCATCGGACAGCCGCCCCCCCCAGAATGGGGGGCTGGCACGGTGCAAGACAGGGCTAAACCTAAACGGTGTTTTGCGTTTTCGTGTTGTTTTTGTTGTCCCTCGTCTCGTCTTCAGTCCGCCTTTCACGCAAAACGCGATCCACACGAGAACGGCCCACGAGATCGCCAGAACACCGCTTCGGGTCACCCCGGGTGCAAGAGCCCGCCGCAGGCGGCTGGCTAGTTGAGGACCGTCATGTCGTCGGCGGAGCACTGCGGCGTGTCGAACAGGGGCCAGTTCGCCTGCCCCGGGTAGGTCTCGTTCGACCGCAGCGGCGCGTGCCAGGACCCCACGGGCCAGGCCTCGGCGCTCCTGCGGTCGTGCCCCACGAGCTGCTGCGGCTCCTCCTGTGCGCGGGGCGCAGAGGCATCGCCCGCCTGCCCGACGAACTCGAAGAAGCCTCCGAACTCATACACGAGAGCGTCCACCTTCGAGGGGCGACGATGGGGGGAGGGGGGATAGAACTGGGGGGGGGGAACATCGACCTGGAATCGGCGATACATCGCCGGAAGATATCGAATGTAGGCCCCCGATAGTGAACCCGCACGTTCCTGGGCAGGTTGGGGCTATCGGGCCCCTATCGGCAATCAATGGGCGATTGGGGATCGATGCATGCCCCCCCTTTGCCTATCCCCCCTATCGTTGCCCTTGAACCTTGTCATCTGCGCCCTCATCGTCTCCTTCCAAGCGCATGCTCAGCTGGGTAGTCACCGTCAAGGAAGAAATAAGGAACACGCACAACAGCTTCATCGCGCTGTATCCGGCGGCCACAGGCCGATTACAGTTCTGGTGTGCAGCAAATCCTCGCTGACAAGGACTTGTGTATGGGTTAAGCCAAAATGGTTACGGAAAGTAGAAGGGGAGGAGGATGTCGGAGGCTCAAAACCCCTCATCCATCCTGCATCCATGCAAGCCGTCCCGCCTTCTCCTCCTCCCTCCTCCTCCTCCTCCTCCTCCTCCTCCTCCTCCTCCTTCTCATCTGCATAATCCTCAGCATCCTCATCATCTTCATCATCATCATCATCATCATCATCATCATCATCATCACCACCACGTCCACAGCCAATCACCACCACCACCATCCCCACCACCACCACCATCATCATCATCAGCAGCAGCATCATCAGCATCAGCATCATCAGCATCATCACCCTCATCATCATCATCATCATCATCATCATCATCATCATCATCATCATCATCATCATCATCATCATAATCAGAATCCTCATCACCATCATCAAAACAATCAGCATCGTCATCCTCGTCAGCAGCATCAGCATCGTCATCATCAGCATCACCATCATCAGCATCATCAGAATCATCACTAGCACAGCAGCGCCACCATCATCATCATCATCATCATCATCATCAGCAGCAGCATCAGCAGCAGCAGCATTGTTATCGTCATCAGCAGCAGCATCAGCATCAGCATCATCATCATCATCATCATCAGCAGCAGCATCAGCATCATTATATTCACCATCATCACGTTATGCTGGAGTATCAGCATCCCCTTTTGCCTCTTCATGCTTTTCCTCACTCGTCGTCGTCCTCCTCCTCCGACAAACTCCTCCTCGATGCTTGATGCCGCGGCGAGGTGAACCCCCATGGCGAGCTCCGTATGCCCCATGGCGAGCTCCGTATGTCCCACGGAAGATGTTTGAAACTCGCTCGACCCTCTCCTGGCAGCTGAAGCTCTTGGGACGGGGAGCCCCAGCGGCCCTCGGGGCACTCCTCCTTCAGGCGCATCCGCCTGCACTCGAAACCCCTGGTCATCCTCCTCCACCGCGCTTCGCCGCTCCGCCGCTCCGTCGCTCCGTCGCTCCGTCACTCCGTCGCTCCTCCTCCTCCTCCTCCTCCTCCTCCTCCTCCACCTCCTCCTCCTCCTCCTCCTCCTCCTCCTCCTCCTCCTCCTCCTCCTCCTCATCCTGCCCCTCCTCCCCCTCCTCCTCCTGCTCTCCTTCTGCTCCTCCTCCCCCTCCCCCTCCTCCTCCTCCTCCCCCTCCTCCCCCTCCTCCTCCTCCTCCTCCTCCCCCTCCCCGGGCCCCCTCGCCTCGAAGAACGCCGGCGACGCCGCCTCGCTCGCCGCGTCCTCCGGCCCCTGGCGGCGGAACAGGAGCCCCGCGCCGCCGCCGGCCCTCTGCTCCAGGCAGGAGGCCTCGGGGCCCGGCCCTCCGGCAACCGCC